ACTCATTTCTAACTTTTTCAAAATCTGAACTTCATTATAGATAGTAAAGATTTTATACGGTGTAGGACCCCAGATTGGAATACGTTTTGTCCTACATGCTGTGGCTATGTGGAAAGGTGAATGTAGTGGCTATTCGATCAATCAAACCTGACACACTCGTCCACATGCACGTTACTACGAGCAGTAATTGCACGCGCAATTGGCTGAACTATCAACCCAATCCACGTATTTGGTCTCAACAACACGTTCTTTCCTGTGCCGCTTCTCCATGGACCGGCTGATTGCATACAACTTTCATGTTGATCTTTTGTCTAGGCCGTGCTCGCGTGTGCTGATTTTAATTTCTGTTCACAGGTCGGTTGTGATCACGTGTTATTGAACTAATCGATTCGTAATCGGTATGACTGCGTTATGCACGAGTCTATCAAGTCAGCTCGGTGGACAGACAAACGAGTGCGCTCGTATTTCTGTTCGAGATTTTGCAGAAAAGGTTTTTGATCATGTCCTCATCACTAAGATGAATAATAAGTGTTTTAATGTTCCAAAGTGACATGGCGACAGGACTAGAATTGAAATTCCAGTCCTGTTATTGCGGGAATGAACATGAGGTGTAATAACTTGACGGTCATATTTTTAAACAGGATGTACAGGTGGCCAATTTAGAACGGGAACATGCGAAGCATTTCAAAAAGATAGTGATTGGGGAAACGTTTGTATCACTTATTTAGGTTGCGTGGTATGACTGATTTCGCATAATCATTGTGCTGTATGCAGTCCGATGTAAAAATAAGCATAAATATATATGTGTGAAGTCAACTCCAGTGGATCGATTGTATCAAAAGATTTTGTGCGCATCAAGTCGGGTGAAGTCATCAAGTAAGCAACACTTTGCGGCCCTTCAATCCTGTTGGTCGATTGTAAGCATTTGCTATGATTTGATTGACTGCATCGTTGTCATGTTGAAGTCCCCTTTTACCTCATTGGTCGACAGGCTTTCTTGGACCAATTACAAACCGGTTTCAAACTGGTTAGAACTGGTGGCGGAACGGTTTTAGCGGGGAAAATTTTCGGTCACCATTGTTTCCTTAGGTAATGATAGATGTGTTCCAGTTATAAATTTTTGTTGATGCAGTCCCTCTCTGGGTACCATGCTTCAATGGATTCCCGTATTGACNCCCGTATTGACCTTTGGGTTCCTTTTTCGAAGGCGTGATTCTCAGCATCCATGTGGATTGTCCTTTTTGACTTCTCCTCGCGTCTTCTGACTGATAGTGTCTGTTCGTGTAGTCGTGTTTGAGTTTTCTGCTGATTTGACTGACGTAGTACTTATCTCAGTCTCGACAAGAATTTGTATACGAATTTTGAGGAGTTTTATTTTGTCAGTTGATCCTTTGGTTTTGATAGGATAGCCTTCATTGTCGCCGTTGTTTTGCGTGCAACCAAAATTCCTGATGGATGTAATAATCTAGCTGCCATTTTCGGATATATAGCAGTGTTGCTCGTTTGATCGTCGGTCGGTCTTCTTGTTGTGCATTTGAGACTTCTCCCGAGGCTTCGATTGTCGTTCTTTCCTTGAGCGTCGCGTTTAAGCAGCGT